TGTAGCCGTAATTTATACCATTTTCAATAGTATGTCTGTGAGATGAGTTTTACAACTTTTGACTGGAGTCTTTCTCTAAGCTATTACTAATATTCTATATTTATATTTTCCTAAAATCTGAATCCTAATATATTGCTTGTAGTGGTAATAATGAATAATGAATTTTGTATGAATTATTAATTATTCCATGATACATAACGCAATAGATAACTAATGGAATATTAGTATATCTAAAATCCACACGAAAATGTCAGGAGAAGTTTCAGAAGAAATCTGACAAATTGTGGTCCCCCCAGACTCATCAGAGAGAAGTTGAAAGCACAGAATCTTCAACAGTGCCGTCATAAGTTCCCAAGGGGGGTAATACAGGACATAAATCTACAACCAGTGAATCCAGAATGTGGCTTGACCCACCACCGTTTCCAACGGATTCTGCAAGCATAATTAGCATGAGTCAGGATAAGGGAAAATATGTAATTTTCTGACTAAAATTGATATTTTATACTTATCCTGACTCATGAGGTTAGCCCTCCCAACCTCCCCTCTTATGGCACTCTGGATTTCCCTGTAAACCTGTGTGTCGGGCTTAGATACGGAGAGAGTGACAAATATGGCAGATCATGTGACCATTTGGACGCCAAAAGGGAAGAAAAGAACGCTACTCGTGGGTGAGTGATTTTACGTCCGCTTTTTTAGAAGGGAACTTCAAGGGATTTCAAGTGTTCCACTATCATTCGCAAGAGGAAGGAGACAAGCATAATTAGCATGAGTCAGGATAAGTATAAAATATCAATTTTAGTCAGAAAATTACATTACAAACTTTGGTAGATGAAGTTCGCAGGCTGTCCGGTAAAACTGACTGTTCAGCGGTCACGTGACAACGTTGTTGACAAACTGAACATTATGGAAGACAATCTGAAGAGCATGTCAGATCAAGTATGTGAAACCAATACTCGATGTCTGGCTTTAGAGGAAGAGAACTTGAAGTTAAACAGATTTATCAAGTCTATGGATGAGGGACTCGACTATCTGGAAAATCAATCCCAGCAATGTAATGTCATATTTCACAGTCTAGAGATGAACACCCAGTGAGACCTGGGCAGATTGTGAAAGTATTGTGTAGAAGATTCTAGAGGAGGATATGTAACTGCCAGATATCAACATTCAGTGAGCATTATGAAAGGTATGGCGATTATAGCGAAAATCAGAGACGACAAAGACAAGCATTCTATTTTCAAAGCATCGAAGATTTTGAAAGACTCTAAATGCCGTATGTACATTACAGAGAACGTTTCTCTGCTTGGGAGACAAAAGCATAAAAAATTTATTCCATTTCTGATAAAAGCTCGTGAGAATGATCTTAAGGCACAACTTCGTTTCGACAAGTTATATGTTGAAGACAATGTTTACTCTTATGACGTGACGACAGATGTTATTGTCACGTTAAAACGAGGACATAAGGCAGGCATCGACTGTGAAGTGAGTGCATGTGAAACCACGAGTCACATGACCGACTAGCAGGGTAGCCGGGCCCAGTGGGTACCCATTGACGACTCAAGCTCTGAGTCCAAATTTACAACATGGAATGTTTGTGAACTAAACAGTAAACTCATTGCATTTTGACATAAAAGGATTTGTTGAAGTCTGGAACAATATACATTGATGATACAAATTCTGCCTTTCCACAGTATGATGTGTTTATTAACCAAAGGGACTCTAATAGCAGAGGATTTGTTGTTATATGTGTTCATCCTTATGCAAGTAAATATGAAATGTTTGGAATAGATTTGTTGATTGTATTTTCATCCTCTTTGATAAAAAGCTTTGTAGAACATCACATAACATTGTATTTGGTGGTGTTTACATTCATCCAGTAAATTCATCTGTAAAGAGTGATTCAAGATTGTTGAAAGGATTGGATTCAAGATTGTTGAAAGGATTGGACTATTTGGAACACTGCTTATTGTCGTGTTTATCCGGCAGTGATATTTCGGACAATTGTTATATCACCATGGGTGATCTGAATGCGAGGACTGGGAACCTGAGCGACTATATTCTACGTGATGATGATAAACATCCCAATTCTTGAAGATATGGAATACATCTCTGACAGTTTTCAAACACCTAGGAAAAGCAAAGATAACATTGTGAATTCTTATGGTACAGATGTGGTAGACCTCTGTTGTTCGTTCAATGTTCTCATGATGAATGGCCGATTTGAATCTGATCCTAACGGTGATATGACATGTTCTACTGCCAGTGGCACCAGCCTTGTTGATTATTGTTTATGTTCCTCGGATCTGTTTGACATTCAGACTGATATCCGGTGTGAATCGGACCATCTGCCGATTGTATCAACCTTTCAAACGAAAACATCTCGTGACAAAGTTGACGTAAACGACAATGAAGAAATTCCTTTTCTTGAACTTAAATCGAAAAAAGATAAACCATTATTCAGCTAGTGTCACATGTGAAGTGTCATCTTATGGTGTTCATGCCTTCATAAGCAATGTTCTGAGGAGTGTAGATGACGCTGTCTCCAAACTAACTTCCTGTATAACTCGTAGTGCAGAACAGTGTGGGATGAGAGTCCATGGAGGGGTGCCCTCTCAACATCGTAGAGCTGGCTGGTATGACGACTGTAGGTACTTGAAACACATTAAATACTCAAACTTGGACATGTTTATATTGGACTGAATTTCATTTATTAAGAAAATCGTATCGTCATCTGTCGTCTGAAGAAAGAACGACACGAAGAGGAACAGGTTAACATGTTATCTAGCAGCTGTTCTAATTCCAGAACATTCTGGAGCCATATTCCTCAACATGTTTCTCATACCCTGTTGTACTTCCAGAACATTCTGGAGCCATATTCCTCAACATGTTTCTCATACATTCCAGAACATTCTGGAGCCATATTCCTCAACATGTTTCTCATACCCTGTTGTACTTCCAGAACATTCTGGAGCCATATTCCTCAACATGTTTCTCATACCCTGTTGTACTTCCAGAACATTCTGGAGCCATATTCCTCAACATGTTTCTCATACCCTGTTGTACTTCCAGAACATTCTGGAGCCATATTCCTCAACATGTTTCTCATACCCTGTTGTAATTCCAGAACATTCTGGAATCATGTTCCTCAACATGTTTCTGATACCCTGAACAAGAAGGCTCTAAATTTGTGAATTGTCAATTGAATGTTATTTCTGTGCTCTCCCAGAAAGAGAAAATACAGAAAGGGGGGGGGCATAGTCAACACCTCGTCCTTCCGTCCGTCCGTAATCATTTTGTTTCTGGAGCATAACACAAAAACCATTCAGTATTTTTCAACAAAAACTGGTACATATATCAAACAGAACCTAAGGTGGTGCCTTTTGCTACTTAGAGATTTTTGTCATTTTTATTTTTCTCGGTTTCCATGGAAACTTTTGGGACTTAGTCTCAAAAGGGAGGGGTGAGTTTCGTTTCCGGAGCACAACTCTAAAACCGTTCATTATCTTTCGACAGAACTTGGCAGATATATGAGACAGATGTTGAAGTGGTGCCTTTTGCTATTTACAGATTTTTGTCATTTTTATTTTTCTCGGTTTCCATGGAAAACGATTGGGACTTAGTCTAGAAAGGGAGGGGTGGGTTTTATTTCCGGAGCACAACTCGAAAACTTCTTAATATCTTTCAGCAAAACTTATGTGATGCCGATCCCAAAGTGGTACCTTTTGCTATTTGCAGATTTTTTGCATTTATATTTTTCATGATTTCCATGGAAACGATTTTGATTTAGTCTAAAAAAAATCAAGCTGGACTTTAAGTAACTATGAGATGATTTGTTCAAATATGTGGGGGCCGGGGGCGTATGTCATCTTCTGATGACTCTTGTTTATTACGTATGGGTGAGCTCCCTTTAATGGTTAATATTGGTAGACGGTGTGTCATTGTCTGCTGTAATAGAATATGTACATTTTGTACGTTAGGTTGTGTGGAACTAACCCTTTCACTTCCTTCTGAATGTCCCTTGTACGATAGGGGTGAAACAGAATGCTCTTACCACGGTACGGTACATACAAGGCGGACCGCCTCCGTGGTGTAGTGGTTAGAGCGTCCGCCCGGAGAGCGGAAGGTTGCGGGTTCGATCCCCGACCGCATCATACCAAAAAGACGTTAAAATATGGTACTTGTTGGTCCCTACCTGGCGCTCAGCATAATGGGTACAAGCACTGGTCGGCTTGGAGTCAGTATAATGTGTCTGAGTGGGGTATTCATGCTTCACTGCAGCATGGTATCTCAGTGGGCTAGCACTATAAAACCAGCTTCAGTCTGTGCTAGTACAAGCAGCCGCACATACACATACACACGCATGCACGTCGTCATATGAGCGAAATATTCTCAAGTACAATGTTAAACCCAATTCACCTCACCTCACATACAAGGCGTTCGGTTCAGTCCATTTCGGTTCGGTATAGGAGATATGATCATAATGCAGAAAATTGACAAGAGCCAAACCTAGCTAGATTTTGACAAAATGATTCGATTTCTAGACATTTAAGAAAAGGTTTTAAAAGGTTAATAAAATACGGTTCGAAAACCGAAAATACTGAATTTTTTGATTGCATTACAGTATAGTATACCGAACCGAAGACAAAATACCGCGGTATACCGTTTCACCCCTACTGTATGACTATCTTAGATCAAAATATATACCAATGTATATTTATATGTACAATGTTTAAGTTTAAAACTCTTCTGACATGTAATAAAATATATATTTTGTTAAATGTTTCAAAGTTGTTAGGGAAGCTCTATTTCTCAGAAATGCCCATCTGTCATTATAATGATTATATTGTATTATTTTGTACGTGAGCCGTTGGCCTTTATACTGAATAAAGAAATGTAAAAATTGAAATTTATTTTAAGACCATCATGTTCTGGCAAATATTCATTCAACTGTGTGTTCTGTCCCAATACAATAAGAACAGTGACTATGTCTGTTCCTGCTCTAGGAAGTGTCGATACAGATCGCTGCTCAACCACTACTGCAGAACTAAGGCACAAATGGTTAAAAGGTCAAGGTCATCTGACAGAGTGCCAATCTTGTCTGCTCCTATTTTCAAGAGAGGCATGAATCCAGGTTTGAGAGAATATCAACAAGAATTACTTTTCCAGTTAACTCTGTGTAACGTAGATTGCACAGGATGATCTTCCACTCACTTACACGTGAAGGTCTGGGTTAGAACTGATCTTCAGTAACCCATGCTTGTCGTAAGAGGCGACTAACGTGATTGGGGGGTCAGGTTCGCTGACTTAGACAATTGTGTAGATCGATGCTCATGCTATTGATCACTGGACTGTCTGGTCCAGACTCAATTATTTACAGACTGCCACCATATAAGTGGAATATTGCTGATTGTGGCATAAACCCACACTCACTCACTCACTCACTCACTCCAGTCTAAGTAAACTTAGGCTCAGTATTACACTGCTATACTGAGTCTAACAAACCCTAGTAAAAGGTCGCATCTAACCTTTTGAATTGACCAATCAGAACACAGCTTACCAAATCGTGAAATTTAACATTCACACATACCATTTGAACTTTTATCTCGAAAACACGAACGATTCCGAATGCTATTTTCCGCACGATTGCTTCCGATTGTTACACATGGAGGATGCATTATTCACAACAGTTGCTGTACATAGCGTTTTTGTCAATATTCCAGGATTCATCTTGCAGAAAAATATGCTAATTGTAACCATGTCATCAGAAACCCCTAAGCGTGTATACTGCAGGTCACATATCTGTGTTTTATGCAGATTTTCGTTTGTTAAGGGGATCAGTGTCAGCAACAGAGAAGAGAAAATTCAAAAACCGTTTTGTAAGTCCCGCTGAACCCAAAATAGTAGCTGTTGTCTGATTGGATAAATCCGTTCGGCCGTCTCGCATTTGACTTGACGGTCATAGGTCGCTCAAGGGTTAGCTGATGTGACCTTTTACAAGGGTTTGTTATGCTCAGCATAGCAGTGTAACGAATAATACTGAGCCTAAGTTTACTTAGACTGTCACTCACTCACCCACTCACTCACTCACTCACTCACTTACTCCAGGTGCTCCAAACCCTGATGTCCAACCCCAGAAGAGGACAAGCTCCAGTAGACTGACGACAGGCCAACTGCTGGACGACTTCACGCCACAGAGACAGGTGACTGACTGATTGCTACCACATACCACATAAACAAATAAACAGGTTATATATCTGGGGAGCCATGCTTGTGGATTTTTCCAAATTGGTAAATGACTAAAACTCCTTTTGGCGATGGGGTAGCCTAGTGGTTAAAGTGTCCGCTTGTGACACCAAAACCTGAGTTCAATTCCACACATGGGTACAATGCGTGAAGCTCATTTCTGGTGTCCCCGCCGTGATATTGCTGGAATATTGCTAAAAGCGGACTAAAACTAAACTCACTCACTCCTTCCACATCCAGCTGACACACTGGGATATAACTGGGATATCATTCAAAGCAGTTATATACCCAAATCACATGCTCATACATAACATTGTGCCTTGACTTACTCATTTTGAAGTTGTCATCCTAAAGTATTTCATGACTTCTGGTTCCTATTTCAGGTGTTCCTTTACCTGCGTGCCCTGTGTCTACAAGTCTTCCCACTGGACATGTTCGGGGGTGACCATAACCGAAAGGTCTTCTTCAAGCGTATCCTTATCTTGCTAACCGCCTCCGTGGTGTAGTGGTTAGAGCGTCCGCCCGGAGAGCGGAAGGTCGCGGGTTCGATCCCCGACCGCGTCATACCAAAAGACGTTAAAATATGGTACTTGTTGGTCCCTGCCTGGCGCCCGGCATAATGGGTACAACAAGGACTGGTCGGCCCGGAGTCAGTATAATGTGTCTGAGTGGGGTATTCATGCTTCACTGCTGCATGGTATCTCAGTGGGCTAGCACTATAAAACCAGCTTAAGTCTGGGCTAGTACAAGTAGCCGCACATACACATACACACGGATGCACGTCGTCATATGAGCGAAATATTCTCAAGCACGACGTAAAACCCAATTTGACCTCACCTCACTTGTTGGTCCCAGCCTGGCGTTCGGCATTAATGGGTACAACAAGGACTGGTCGGCTCGGAGTCAGTATAATGTGTCTGAGTGGGGTATTCATCCTTCACTGTGGCATGGTATCTCAGTGGGCTAGCACTATAAAACCAGCTTCAGTCTGGGCTTGTACAAGCAGCCGCACATACACATACACACGCATGCATGTCGTCATATGAGCGAAATATTCTCAAGCACTACGATAAACCCAATTTCACCTCACCTCACCTCACCTCACCTCACCTCACCTCACCTTATCTTGCTAAGGGGTCATTCTGCCTATTGAAACGGGTATTTGTACCCCTGAGAATATTTTGAAGCAGACAAGGTCTACAGTATCATTTCGACATCATTTGTTTCCTTGTTGTATTTCTGGTGCTAAAAACATCACCAATATTTCAAAATCCTTACAAATACATCCCTTAAACACTTGATTGCCTTTTACCTGAAACTAGATTCTGAATCCACAGGTTTAGCTTTAATATAAAATAAGTCCAAGGGTATGTGTTGTCTTTCTTCCTTGTGGTCCTTCAAACACGATCAGCATTAGTTATCTCCCCTGGTGGAAGCAAAGGGAACCCCATACATTTTCCTGGAGTACCTTAAAGGGACATGCTCTGGAATTCCTAATAGATAGATGGGTTCGCCTTCACCTCAATTATTAGGGGTAGTATTCTAAGAATTATTATCATAGTTGGTAATGTTCATGATTGTTGATGACCGCCTCCGTGGTGTAGCGTCCGCCCAGAGTGCGGAAGGTCACGGGTTCGATCCCCAACCGCGTCATACCAAAAGACGCTAAAATATGGTACTTGTTGGTCCCTGCCTGGCGCCCGGCATTAATGGGTACAACAAGGACTGGTCGGCTCGGAGTCAGTACAATGTGTCTGAGTGGGGTATTCATGCTTCACTGCTGCATGGTATCTCAGTGGCCTAGCACTATAAAACCAGCTTAAGTCTGGGCTAGTACAAGCAGCTGCACATACACATACACACGCATGCACCTCGTCAAAGAAAGAGATGTATTCTCAAGCACGACGTTAAACCCAATTTCACCTCAACTCACCTCACCTCATGATTGTTGATTAGGGGTAGAGTTGGTGTCCAGTAGTCAAAGCTTGTTTTGTGATCCTATAGAAACTCTTTATTGTGTAGGTACAACTGTCCCTCCGTCCTTTAGGTTGATGTAACTGAGGGCTGGGATGACTTTACAAGGAAGCATTACTGTGAAAAAAGTATTGCAGTTCCGTTTTATAGTTGATCATGTGACTTAATGAATCATGGATGAGACTCAGTGACGTGACTGATTGCGTCATCATTCCTCAGCTGCAGGGACCCGTGAAGATACGGGTTAGAACTGTTCAGTAACCCATGCTTGTTGTAAGAGGCGACTAACGGGATCGGGTGGTCAGGCTCGCTGACTTGGTTGACACATGTCATAGTATCCCAATTTCATATATCGATGCTCATGCTGTTGATCACTGGATTGGTTAAACTCACTCACTCACTCAGCTGCAGGGATTGTTGCTCATCATATCAATCACTGGATTGTCTGGTCTACATTATTCTCTACTGGAATATGCTGCATCTTATATACTGACCATTACTGTGTACTGGAATATGCTGCATCTTTGTTTACTGGCCATAACTGTATACTGGAATATGCTGCATCTTATATACTGACCATTACTGTATACTGGAATATGCTGCATCTTTGTTACTGGCCGTTACTGTATACTGGAATATGCTGCATCTTATGTACTGACCATTACTGTATACTGGAATATGCTGCATCTTTGTTACTGGCCGTTACTGTATACTGGAATATGCTGCATCTTATGTACTGACCATTACTGTATACTGGAATATGCTGCATCTTTGTTACTGGCCGTTACTGTATACTGGAATATGCTGCATCTTATGTACTGACCATTACTGTATACTGGAATATGCTGCATCTTTGTTACTGGAATATGCTGCATATTATGTAATGACCATTACTGTATACTGGAATATGCTACTGACCATTACTGTATACTGGAATATGCTGCATCTTTGTTACTGGCCGTTACTGTATACTGGAATATGCTGCATCTTATGTACTGACCAATACTGTATACTGGAATATGCTGCATCTTTGTTACTGGCCGTTACTGTATACTGGAATATGCTGCATCTTATGTACTGACCATTACTGTATACTGGAATATGCTGCATCTTATATACTGACCATTACTGTATACTGGAATATGCTGCATCATTGTTACTGGCCGTTACTGTATACTGGAATATGCTGCATCTTATGTACTGACCATTACTGTATACTGGAATATGCTGCATCTTTGTTACTGGCCGTTACTGTATACTGGAATATGCTGCATCTTATATACTGCCCGTTACTGTATACTGGAATATGCTGCATCTTATTTACTGGCCGTTACTGTATACTGGAATATGCTGCACCTTATTTACTGCCTGTTACTGTATACTGGAATATGCTGCATGTTATTCACTGGCCGTTACTGTATACTTGAATATGCTGCACCTTATTTACTGCCTGTAACTGTATACTGGAATATGCTGCATGTTATTCACTGGCCATTACTGTATACTGGAATATGCTGCACCTTATTTACTGCCTGTTACTGTATACTGGAATATGCTGCATGTTATTCACTGGCCGTTACTGTATACTGGAATATGCTGCATGTTATTCACTGGCCGTTACTGTATACTGGGATATGCTGCACCTTATTTACTGCCTGTTACTGTATACTGGAATATACTGCATGTTATTCACTGGCCGTTACTGTATACTGGAATATGCTGCACCTTATTTACTGCCCGTTACTGTATACTTGAATATGCTGCACCTTATTTACTGACCGTTACTGTATACTGGAATATGCTGCACCTTATTTACTGCCCGTTACTGTATACTGGAATATGCTGCATCTTATTTACTGCCCGTTACTGTATACTGGAATATGCTGCCCCTTATTTACTGGCCATTACTGTATACTGGAATATGCTGCACCTTATATACTGCCTGTTACTGTATACTGGGATATGCTGCACCTTATTTACTGGCCGTTACTGTATACTGGAATATGCTGCACCTTATTTACTGGCCGTTACTGTATACTGGAATATGCTGCACCTTATTGACTGGCCGTTACTGTATACTGGAATATGCTGCACCTTATTGACTGGCTGTTACTGTATACTGGAATATGCTGCACCTTATTTACTGCCTGTTACTGTATACTGGAATGTGCTGCACCTTATTTACTGCCCGTTACTGTATACTGGAATGTGCTGCACCTTATTTACTGCCCGTTACTGTATACTGGAATATGCTGTACCTTATTTACTGCCTGTTACTGTATACTGGAATATGCTGCACCTTATTTACTGCCTGTTACTGTATACTGGAATATGCTGCACCTTATTTACTGCCTGTTACTGTATACTGGAATATGCTGCACCTTATTTACTGCCTGTTACTGTATACTGGAATATGCTGCACCTTATTTACTGCCTGTTACTGTATACTGGAATATGCTGCACCTTATTTACTGCCTGTTACTGTATACTGGAATATGCTGCTCCTTATTTACTGCCTGTTACTGTATACTGGAATATGCTGCACCTTATTTACTGCCCCTTACTGTATACTGGAATATGCTGCACCTTATTTACTGCCTGTTACTGTATACTGGAATATGCTGCACCTTATTTACTGCCTGTTACTGTATACTGGAATATGCTGCACCTTATTTACTGCCTGTTACTGTATACTGGAATATGCTGCACCTTATTTACTGCCTGTTACTGTATACTGGAATATGCTGCACCTTATTTACTGCCTGTACTGTATACTGGAATATTGCTGAATGTGCAACCACCAGGAAGTGCTCTATTACAAGACTAACCCTCCTTGACACATGACGAGATCTCCATGATGTTGTGACGCTGGGTCGACATGAGAAGTACTGCCTCGGTCAGACAATGATGCATGTCAAGGTGTTTATCACATGTCCAACATGTCGTGTTTGCTGTAACTTGTATATTTTGAGTTTACTCTGTGAGGATTTCATGGTAATGACACGCACTCTGTGATATTGCTTAGTGCAAACAGAACACCCATTCACTGTCATTCACGCTCATTCACTGCCATTTATTCTCTTTCACTCTCATTCACTCACTAAAATAGCCATATTCCATTCACTCGTTCAAATACGCACTTCACTGAAATCTTCAATCTGAAATACTTTATCCACTCACAAATTGAGATACTCACTCACTCATTCACTGATATACCAACTCCCGGAATATTCACACTCACTCACACTACTAGACTCTTTCACTCACTCACTCACTCACTGAAATATTCACCCACCAACTCAACTGAAATACCCAACCACCCATTCACTCACCCACACACTGAAATACCCACCCACCAATTCACTCACTCACACACTGAAATACCCACCCACCAATTCACTCACTCACACACTGAAATACCCACCCACCAATTCACTCACTCACACACTGAAATACCCACCCACCAATTACTCACCCACACACTGAAATACCCACCCACCAATTCACTCACTCACACACTGAAATACCCACCCACCAATTCACTCACTCACACACTGAAATACCCACCCACCAATTCACTCACTCACACACTGAAATATCCAACCACCCATTCACTCACTCACACACTGAAATACCAACCCACCAATTCACTCACCCACACACTGAAATACCCACCCACCAATTCACTCACTCACACACTGAAATACCCACCCACCAATTCACTCACTCACACACTGAAATATCCACCCACCAATTCACTCACTCACACACTGAAATACCCACCCACCTATCCACTCACACACACACTGAAATATCCACCCACCCATTGATTCACACACACACTGAAATATCCACCCACCCATTCACTCACTCACCAACCTACCCATCCACTCACTGATATACCCTTCCTCCAACACTGATCACCTCTGTGGTGTAGTGGTTAGAGCGTCCGCCCGGGGAGCAGAAGGTCGCAGGGTTCGATCCCGGCCGCGTCATACCAAAAGATGTTAGGCTCAGAGTCAGTATAATGTGTCTGAGTGGGGTATTCATGCTTAACTGCAGCATGGTATCTCAGTGAACTAGCTCTATAAAACCAGCTTAAGTCTGGGTTGGTACAAGCAGCCACACATACCCACACATGCACGTCGTCATATGAGCACAATTATCTTAAGTGCGACGATAAACCCTATTTCACCTCACCTCACCTCACCTCCCTCACCTCACCTCACCTCCTCACACACTCTGAAACACACACTTACTCACCCATTGAAATAACCACCCAGCCAACCATTCACTCATTTCTTCCAGGTGAAGTCCTACAAGTGTCTCCAACCTGAGCCCGGCGGACATCCCTGCCGAGTGCGTCGAGTGGCCCAGATACTGTGGTGGCTTCTCAACTCCTTCATCTGTCCGGTCATCAAGGTAGTCAGTTAGGCTGAAGGGGGCGTTGTCTGCACAGGTACTACAGAAATGTACCCCAGGTACCTTTCTGTATACAGAAATGTACCCTAGCCAAAGTAAATGTACAGAATCGTACCCTAGGACGATCCCATTCTGCATCGCGATGATCGCTAAACCGGTTTCTTGAAAGCGTACTTTTATTCCTGCCTGTCAAACCACTGAAAAATCCAACATGGCACTGTGTGTTCGTCAGGAAGAACTAGATACCTTCCTTCCGTTGTTAGTTGTAAAATATCAGACAATCGATTTCTCTTGATCATGACGTCCCCTGTAGTCCGTTTTACAGAAAATTGAAAGTCTTCCTTATCTTGAAATTCTTCAAAGGCTGTAATTACTTCCTTATCATGGCTGTCTACAATGGGGGTGACATACTTCCGTACAGGGCTGCTCTCAGGAGCGAACTATTTTTAAGTTTTGGATGTCCTGAAAGGGCCGTTTCCAAATCGTCCCCACCAAGAGCTGTCATAAATGAACATGGGAAATGGTCATCATCTTCTTGATCGGAACTCTCATACTATCGTATGAGCTCCATATTCGATTGCGTTAGAATACAAAGTTAATACTCCGCGATATACAATGAAAGTGCTCGAAATCAGGCGATCTGGAACAACACCACAAACCGGTTTCGGTTTCGGATTGAGAAAAGTGGACTCGTCTGCCGTTTAGGGTACCGGGTATGTTTCTGTACATTTACTTTGGCTCGGGTACATTTTTGTATACAGAAAGTACCTGGGGTACATTTCTGTAATACCTGTGCCGACGACCCCTTCAGTGTCAGTTAGATGGCCTAGTGGTTACAGTGTTTGCCTGTCCTCACAAATAACTGGTTCTGTTCCCGACATGGGACTGATACCAGTTGTAACACCCATGAAGACGTTTGCAGCTCATTGTATGTACTGTCATGGAAAACATCCCTGGCCAATTTGGGTTGTTCTAGCAGCTAACAGTTTGACAAGGACAGGTGCTCTTTCCTTGCTCCTCTTTCAGGACATGATGACGAGGGGTAATAAGGAAATGTCTTGGGAAGATGTCAGGTTAAAAGGCATTAAAAGTCATTGTCAAGTATATCTGGTATTGATGTTTGGAATTTTTGATGTTGTGTATTTCCTGTTTCCAGTCATTCTTCTATGTGACAAACACGAACATCTACAGGAATCGTGTTGTGTACTACAGGAAGAGTGTGTGGATTCGGCTCCACACCAGGACACTTACAGGTAACCATGGTAACCTCACTTTCTGCAGGGGTCTGGCAAGAAGGATAGAATCTGGTAAAATAAGAGCAACCCCCCAAAATATAAAAGGACTAAACCACTTTACTTAAATTTCCAAAATTCAGAATTGCTGAATTGTTTTCGTCATTAAACATTTTCATTCTACGTCCATAGTTGAATTTTGTGTCAGCTAGTCTGTTAGCCTGTGGTAATCCTCACTCATGCACTTGCTTGTCACAGCTCTGAAGCAGAAGAAGATGATGTCCCCCATTACTCAGGTAAGACTCCATTCTGACCCGTGAAGGTCCGAGTGTAACAAGCCAGAGTATACCCCTGTCCCAGACTATACCTGGGGTTAAACTGGGCTAGCTTGCTGACTTGGTTGACACATGTCATCGGTTCCCAATTGCGCAGATCGATGCTCATGCTGTTGATCACTGGATTGTCTGGTCCAGACTCGATTATTTACAGACCGCCGCCATATAGCTGGAATATTGCTGAGTGCGGTGTAAAACTAAACTCACTCACTCACTAGTTCAGGAGTCTTGTGTTTACAGCTGACCTTCAGTTGTGCTGCAAAGATCACTTTGTAGACCTTTGTTTTATAAGATTTGTTCTGGATTTTGTTCTGTTGTGTAAGATAAACCCTATACTCACTCACTCACTAACTCACTCACACATTCAGACAAAGGTGGAGCACCTGCTTGACAGTGGCCAGGCCCTGGGAATCTCCTACCTGCGTTTCCTGCCAAAGCTGACGTCACTGAGACCTGTTGTTAACATGGGGAGAAAACCAGAACCCTGGACCAAGAAGGTGAAGGCTGATGATGTGTTTGTGGTGGTAGATGCTGCTTTGGATATGTGTGTAGTGACTGTCGGTGGCAGCGTACTGCTATAATGTGGTGTCATGGCTTAGAATTGCAGTCCAATGTGGTTTGGTATCAGTAGAGTTATCTGCCCTTGTGTTGATGAACATTGAAGACATGATCAATCGGGAAGTTTTAGAATGGGACAGTTTCTAGATGGCTAGCTGTACAAATGAAAGTCTGACGCAAAGGCCTTTCAAGGGTTTTTTCAAATTGAAATCACTCTATTGCTCTGGGTCGAGGCTTCAGCTTTTCCACAACAGCAAGATTTTTCCTTATCCTGACTCATGCTTATTGCTTGTCTCCCTTTCCTTCCGAATGCTAGTGGAACACTTGAATCCCCTTTTTGAAGCTCCCTTAAAAAAAGCGGACGTAAAACCACTTTCCAGGAGTCATCTCCCTTCCCCAGGTTTTGCGGGAAACGGCGCCACCTGTCACCCATGCTCCTCACTCTCTCCTGATTCGCCCGAGTGGGCGGTTGTGAGAGCACCTGGTCCCCTATACAGCATTATATCCTTTTATTATTTAGGCCTTTCTTCTAAATTAGCTGTATAAGGCTTTAGTTAACGTTTACCTACAATACTCTACGGAATTATTTCTCAAGTTTCTCTGTTTTATCACGTTTTTTATGTGACTGTTCACATTGTTTACAATTGATGAAATCTTGTTCTGGTTGTAGGTACAGATTGTCTGCTGTGATCCACATAACCTATGTCCTAATTGCAAGCCCGCATGTTCATCTGGCCTTCGTTGTCAGTTGTGTTTTCACCTGTCTGATATTGCATTTTATAAATATTCATTTTGTCTGTCTAGACGTGCAAAGGACAGGTCCAGACGAGATTTACACGACATGTCTAAACCGGCTAAGCTTGCAGAGGACCGGCAGTTGGTGTCTGCGCAGATTCACCATCCCAGTGGTCTACTGTGGTCGTCAACGGAGGATGTTGCTGTCGTAGACAACTCTGGTTTGAGGAAGAGGTCATCTACATCTGATAATTCCTCATCGCAGTCCAAGAAGACTAGGGCATCATCTTCCCAGAGGAAGAAGTCAGCTGCAACTAAGACTTCGTGGCAGTCTCCACATGGGGCAACGCAGAAAACAAGGTCTTTTCAGCTGAGATCGTCCCTCTGGAGGAATTAGATGTCTACGATGAGCCGCCCATCCTCATCCCTGAGATCACGACTAAGAAAAAGACGAAGGCATCTTCTACCGTGACCACGCGGGACAACCTATCAGCGCAGACAGTGGGCTCCAGAGAGGTACAACGCCCTTCGGAAGAAGCCTCATCCATCTCAGATGCATCGTCACTGCAGCAGACAACGCAGAGCTTCAACCCGGGGTGCCTTTATGCAGCAATTCACCCAACAGATGTTGGATTTGATGGAACAACGGTTCGCACGCAAGAGAGCTGCGACGAAGACTACGTCTGCTACAAACCCGAGTGAAGGACAACTGAGCTGCACATCAAGTCCGTTGGGAACCAACAACCTGCGAAGCTTACATGAAGATTCCAGCTTGACTACAACGTCCGCACGAAGGTCTGTCAGTCCTTCGGAATACCAGACAGACTAAAACCATATCTGCTATGGTGGACTCAGAAGTCGAATGTTTGTGGCGGAAACTACTTAATGGAGCCGGAGTGCAACATCCACCTCTATGTAGATGCATCACTTCAAGGATGGGGAGCACACCTCGAAAACGAAGTGGCAGCCGGGGAAATGGTCGAAACAAGAAATGAATCTGCATATCAACATGCTCGAGATGAAAGCAGTAGTAAATGCCCTACTACATTGGTCCAACATACTAAGGAACGCAAAATTGATGATCCATACGGACAACTCAACAGTGGCGTTCTACATAAACAAACAAGGATCAACAAGATCTTGGAATCTTCTAGACCTCAGCTTTCAACTCTTCAACATAATAGACAAACTAAACATCTATGTAAAAGCATGCCACATTCCGGGAGCCAAGAATGTAATAGCAGATGCGCTATCTCGACCACTTCAACCATCCCCAACAGAATGGATGTTACATCCAGAAGCATTCAGTTGCATCATACAGACGATAGGATCTCCACTCCAGATCTATTCGCCACAAGATTCAACAATCAACTGGCAACATTCGTCTCTCCAATTCCCGATCTGCAAGCATGGGCGACAGACGCTTTAAGCATCCCGTGGGAAGGACTAAACGCATACGCGTTCCCTTCTCCAGCGCTAATACCACAAGTATTACAGAAAATCAGGCAGACAAGGAACCTGCAACTGATTTTGGTCGCGCCTTACTGGCCGGCAAGAACGTGGCTTCCTATTCTCTTACAAGAACTCGGAAAATCAAAAATACAACTTCCAGTTTGGTCGAACCTATTAATTCATCCTCAGACCAAGCAAGTTCACAAGTATCCCAGGTCATTCCACCTACACGCATGGAGCGTATCACGACTTGCTTGTCAAAAAGAGGATACTCCGCCAGAGCAGCGAAAGCAGTTACACTAGCTTTATGCAGATCTACTCGTAACTTGTATGACGACAAGTGGCAAAGTTTTGAGAAATATGCATCGAGGAAAGGTTTCACAGCAATGAAAGCAACACATCCTCAAGTGGCAGAATATCTTTGTCATCTCAGACAAATAAAGAGATTAAAAGGTTCTACATTATCTACATACCTAGCGGCTCTCAGCTCAGTTATCATCATGAAGACAGGTGTTAAACTGACAACAGTGCCAGAGTTACTGGCCTTGCTACACTCTTTTAAGCTGGAAGACCAGCAAAAGAAATTTAAAGCGCCGGCTTGGGATCTCAACGTAGTGTTACAGCATCTCACCAGTGATGCGTACGAACCACTAGAAAGAACACCTTACGAATTTCTTACACAGAAAACGCTATTTCTGATCGCCTTGGCAACAGCGGCGCGGATGTCAGAAATACATGCTCTGGACTTCGAACGAATACGTTTTGACACACATCACAACATAGTTCATCTAGGATTGAGATGGGATTTCAAAGCTAAGAATCAACTGCCAGGTCAACCGGACAGACACTTCCACATCCCAGCATTATCTACAAACCTTGGACTACAGGATATACAGGACCTATCCTTATGCCCAGTCTGAGCACTGAAAATCTATCTACAAAAGTCTAAAACCAGGAGACGAACATTCAAACGCCTTTTCATCCCCATATCGTCGGAGACACCCACAGAGATCTCACGTACTACGATATCAGTTTGGATGAGAGCAATCATACTACGAGCCTACAAGGCAGCAGGACTTGAGCCTCCACGAGCCTCCAACCCGCACGAAGTTAGAGCACTGGCATCTACACTCGCTCTACATGGAAACTGCTCAATATCCACTATCATGGAAGGGTGTTTTGGGAAATCAGAGACAGTATTTGCTAACCACTACCTCAGAGATATCGCTACCAAGGACGTCTCCGGTATTCACCAGTTTGGGCCTCTGGTTGTAGCACAACAACTGACGGTCCCGCAAAGGCGCTGAGATGTATCTCGCCCTTTTTATCGCATGTCATGCAAAGCTCGTACTCCAAGGAATAGAGCTTATTGTCCATGTACACGTCTAGAACAGACTAGCATCAATATTAGACCCTGTACTTGTAAGGAATTACTGGTACATGGATAGGGTCACTGCTCCACTTGATACGAACATCAAGAGTTATTGAAATCCACATGTATGTCTACAGAAGACAGTTTGATAAATTGTGGTCCCCCCAAATTTACCAGATAAAGTTCGACATATGGATCAACAGCAGCAGCAGTGCCATCAAAAGTTCCCATGGGGGGTAAATAGGACGTAAATTCATCACTAAGGAATCCAGAAGTGGCTTGACCCACCACCAATTCCATCGGATTCTACAAGCAATAAGCATGAGTCAGGATATGGAAAAATATATAATTTTCTGAATAAAATTGATATTTTATACTTATCCTGACTCATGAGGTGAGCCCTCCCAACCTCCCCTCAAGGCACTCTGCATTTCCCAGTAAATCCGTGTGTCGGGCTGTAAAATACAGAGAGAGTGAGGAGCATGGTGACAGGTGGTGCCGTTTTCCCGCCAAAACCTGGGGAAGGGATTTTACATCCGCTTTTTTGAAGGGAGCTTCAAAAGGGGATTCAAGTGTTCCACTAGCATTCGGAAGGAAAGGGAGACAAGCAATAAGCATGAGTCAGGATAAGGAAAAATCTTGCTGTTGTGGAAAAGCTGAAGCCTCGACCCAGAGCAATAAGGTGATTTCAATTTGAAAAAAAGCCTTGAAGGCCTTTGGGTCAGACTTTCATTTCTACAGCTAGCAATCTAGAAACAGGATAAGTATAAAATATCAATTTTATTCAGCAAATTACATTTTTCTTGTGGTATATTCTTTATAATAATATACCCATACACACTCACTCACTCATAGACATACACATTTACACTCACTGCTACTAACACATACTCTCACATGTATGCCGTCGGTTCCAAATGAATTCCCGTGCTTCAAATACTCAATAACACCCGGAAATTGGCCCACACATGATGTTTATCTCCTAAGTGAGTAAGTGAGAGTATGTGTTTGTAACAGTGTAAATGTGTATAGGCACAAGAAGCAATCGTCTCCTGGCGGTAACAAAGAATGCCAGGAGACGCTTGTTTCTTGTGCCTATTTTGCCAACATGTGAAACTTGTTTTAAAATACCATTGATATAGCTACAAGATAACTCATAGAGGCATAATTATAACGGAAACATTCCCTCTGGATTATGGTAGCCTTATTCCTGTAGATGCACAGAATACATACAGAAAATCAAAAGAAATTTTAACACTAAGTCATAGCTATTCATAGTGGTATACCTAGTCTACCCCTGAGTTATCTCCCTTGATCCTGACGTCACTGTATTGTTCTCCTAGAACCCTTCATAATTTTTCTGTATGGTCAACACGCATG